AGCTCCCTGTTCCCTACAAAGAACAGGGCAGCTGACCAGACTCCGGGCATGGAGCTCCCTGCCAGGTGCAGACATGCTCCCAGATTGGAGCAGGGAACCCGGGAAGCCAGCCCAGATAGGAGCGGGGAGCCAGGGCAGCAGCCTGGCCGGAAGTGGAGACCAGGCAGCAGTCTGGCTGGGGAGCTGGGAGCCGGCTTTCTTGTCAATTTCATGGTTCCAGTGGCGCTGTGAAATTGACAAGAATGACAGCCAATAGATGTAAGTAACTCAGTGTCTTAATGGACACTGCGTGGCCCTAACTACACTGATATAAGCCCTACACCTCTTGTAGAGATGGAGTTATTATGTTTGTGCAGTAGAGCACTTACATTGGCGGGAGCAATGCTGTATTGTGTACACGGACACAATTAGGTTGACATAAGCTGCCTTATGTTGACCTAATGGTGTAGTGTAGACTAGGCCATAGTTTCTACATGCCACCAGTGTAGTTCTCACCTCATCAAGGGTCAAATGAAGGAAACAAGAATAAATATTACAAAGGAAGAAACTAAAAGTGATCTGGAATTAATTTTCCTAAGTAAATATTTTTGTACAATCAGCTGTAGGAGTTGAGCTATTACTGCATCATCCAAGAACAAAAATATACTCCTCCAAGTTGTAGCTCATTTTCTTGGCTTTTTCTGAAACAGTCATCATGCTACGGTCTTCATCACACTCTTTCTTGGAAATATGGTGTAACCTGAAGAGTTTATGTTAGAGATGGGGCCTGAACAAAAGTTCCCAGGTCCATAAACTCCAGAACGTTGGGGACTGTTCTGAAACTGATTCCAGATTTTGCAAAATAGCCCTCTAGATTTAAAAACAAACAAACTGAAGCTCCAAATCAAGACAAACTATGGGAATGTTTCAAAATTCCCACTGAATTTTCTAGCATGAGCATCTCTCAGTCACACAGCTGAAATTCCCAGGATAAATACAGCTGCTCATTGGCATCTGACACTGGGATCTACACCTAGGGGCAACTTCTGATAGGGTTGCGAATCCTCCAGGATTGGCCTGGAGTCTCCCGGAATCGGCATCGATTTCCCAGTGACTATTGAAAGCAATCCAGGAGTATTTAATAGGATATTTTAAGAAAATGACATTATGTCATACTGGGGGAAAAAATCTCCCGGATTAGCTTCAGTCAGAGTTGGCAACCCTAGCTTCTGGGCTGGTGTAATCATGCTCTTTTGTCTGTGCGGGGCAAGGACACAATATTGGATTTATCATTGACTCACTACCAATATACTTACCATAGCGGAGAAAATTTTCGGTTCATGTCTCATGAAGCCAAAAAAGTTTGATCAAGTGCTTCCTTTAGTAATGTCTTTTATATTTTAATGTCACAATTTCTGCCAAGCCTTGGGCCCCTGAGGTCTCCATAATGATATATCACTGGTTTAGACCATCCAAGCTATAGATTCCCCCATTGCACAGTTAGAGATAGCTGCTCCCTCTGGCAAACCAATATTTTGCATCTTTCTCTCTACACACAGCCACCACAGATCATCAGTGGGTGTCATATATTAAAATTAGACAGGCAGGTTTCTAGGAAGATGCAACACAAAGCTGCAGAGATGAAAAATAAGATCCAGCAATTATAATTGTCAGTCATTTTTCCCCACAATATTTTTTTAAATACAACTAGAAAAAAATTAATGGTTTCATGAGAAAAAGGAAGGAAACGATACTTCCCAGATATACAATATCAAAAGCTCATAAGAAAATTAAATAAACATCCACTATATATTACTGTACAAGTACATTGGATTGCATCGAGGGACAGTCAAAGAACACTGAGCTCTGTTTATCACAGAGACTCTCTTCACACAAGACCGTGTTTATACACTGCATGATAGGTAATGTTGCATCACTTAGATTAACACATGAAATCTGAGTGGATTGAGTTATTCACCTGCCTAGGAGGAAGAAAAGGAGATAGAAATAATGTCGTTTTCAAGGACGAGAAATTCAATGGTGCACATAAGTGATATACTGTGCTATATGTTTCTAATCTGCCTGTAACTGTGGTATCAGCTTCAGGCACCAGATCTGAAATACCAGTCTGACGTGTTTTATTCTAAGCGGCTACATATTTTATATTTTCCTGCAGCTAAGCAACGGGCCATATCCTCTGTGCGGTGCCGCTGTTTTACATGCTGGTGTGATCTCACCACAAACACACCCTAGTCAAACAGGGGATCACCCCAACGTGAGCGTGGTTCTGGCAACATACAGCCAACTGCAAAAAAATTATAGTCAACAACCCAGAACTTAAGCATCTGTACTTCCTAAAATTACTCAAATGCACTAGTTCTCTTTGAGGACAAAGGAATAAATCACATTTGGGGTTGTTACATCAAGATATTTTTCAGATATGATCTTCCATAGGGAGGGGAAAATACTATTAGACAGCTATGGTAAAGGATAAAACACCTCTAATTCTTCAGACTCGCATTTCTCAGGCATGCCTTGTCTGACATCCAGTCTCTCAAACCTTCCCAAAGAGTTTTTCTCTGGTAAAAGATCATACATCAGAAAATGCCTAGTGGAAAAGTTTTGTGTTGATGTCGTTACAGGGGTAATCAAAATTAAATGCATAATGGAAAGACAGTTACAGCCATAATTTTTCAAACTGGAGTGCCTGAAGTTAGTCACCCACATCCCTATTAGGGCCAAGATTTTCCAAAGTGACTGATGATTTTACATGCCCAACCTGGGGCACCTAAAAGGCGACTGATTTTCCAAAAATAAGGGTTCAGCACTTCCTGAAAACCAGATCCTGCTAAAGCGTCTCAAATTGAACACCCAAAAGTGGAGGCACCCAAAATTACTAGTCATGTCTGAACTTTTTGGCCTAGTTGTCTGAATATGGATGCAGGTGTGTAACTTTAGACTTTCAGTACGAAAATTTTGGCCTAGATATCCCTTGACTATGGAGTCTCCCCTTGCTAACTGGATGCATAATATGCAGAGAGAGAATGTTCATCTCCCATGTTAAAAGCAGGTTCAAATATGAAAAGAAAAGCTTCAAAAATGGTTTTCTGTCAAGTTCAATAAAATTGGGCCTGCTATTGATGCAGACAAGATTTATTTTATTGGTGTGTAAGATGATTTCTGAAAGAAATATCCCTATTAAAATCTTGTTGGCATATAACTGACATTTTGGCAAAATACCATGGAAACATTTGGTCATATCCTCTCAACCCCTAATTTCTTCCTTACATGTTCTTCTTAATATATCACAGTTGTTAAATTTGTAACATGTAATTCCCTTGAGACTAAACAACAGTGCTTGGTATGTGAAAAATGAACAATACATTTACATCAGTAAACCAAGAAGAAATTTTAAATAAACATTTAATTGAGTACAAATAGTCTGAACATTATTTTTATGAAACTTGACCATTCCGTAGGCCAGCACTAACAGCAGGATGTCCTACATAAACGTAGCAAAAACATATGTTGTCGTCCTCTTCTTCAGTTATGACATAACCGATCAGATTCAATACTTCTGATGCCTTATTGCAGTTAGTCAAACATTACTATATTGGAAGGCGGTTAAACTTTTTCTTAAATTATTCACCATTTCATACAAAAGCAAACATGACCACCAAAACCCCAGAAAGAATGTCTTGATTTATTTTGGCATTATGGGTCAACTTAAATTAGTATACAAAGAGGGCTGTACAAATTGTTGCTACATCTAGCATGGATTTTGACTTTGCAAACATATGGCCAGCACCAACACCCAAGTAAAGCTGAGGGTAGGTCTGGCATGGGGTGCACCAGGTCATAAATTTGGTATTTGCCCAGGTGGCTGCCCTCTTGTGCTCTAAAATCTAAGAGAGTTTCTTTCTTTCTTCCTTAAAGTTGTCCTAACCCTGGTTGTATTGGAACTAACACTGTATTATAAACTCTTCATGGCAGGGAATTTGTTGTATTTGTATCTGTCGAGTGAAGCATCTAGGACATATCTGACTCCTGCATAAACACTAAAACTACTACTAACTTTCCCCTTTTTCATAGCCAAGATAAACAGTTTTCCTTTATGGCCGTCAGTCATGTTGAGTATTACATTACTACACATGTAATGTAGTCCTACCAATTGCAAATGAGACTACTCACGTAATAAGGTAGTCTTGAATCTAAATAAAGGTGGTAGTCAAGCAGTTCAGGAAAGGAAGCCACCCATTTGTTTTTGCTCTTTTCATTGTCTGTGCCTATTTTCTGGAGGGGACAAGTCAACATTGTGCTATTTAGCATGCAATATTAGCACATTCTTTGATCACCCAGAATTCCCCTTGGCATCAATGGGAGCCAGACAGGTAGCATGGCCTAGTGGATAGAGCAGTGGATTGGAAGACGGTTTCTAGTCCCTGCTCTGCCTCTACCCTCTTGGGTGACTATGACCCTTGTTAAATTGGTTCACCTTTCTCTCTCTTTTATTCCCCTCCAACCCTTTGTCTCTCTTGTCTATTTAGACAGTAAGCTCTTCGTGACAAGGACCATCTTACTATGATTTTACGCAATGCCTAGTACAATCAGTCCTTCATCTCCATTGGAGTCTCTATGCAATACCATAACACAAATAAATAACAATGGGATATTCCCCTTTGACTTCAGTGGAGGTTTTGGGTGTGCAAAGAAGGCAGGATCAGCTCTATGTTCAGCAGTTTGTCATCTATAATTACTTCTCTGCACACACTTTTTCTGTTAAAGCCCTTTTTTCTTAAACAAATCCATTTGGGTTGTAAACCTTTTCTAAAAGCCACATCCTGGAGGCTTTTATATATATTACACTATGTTAAAAGAACACTGTTAAGTCTGCAAAGTCAAGCACTCAAACATTGGGAAATGCCAGATTTAACATCGCCCACCGAGACAGGGATAGAATCCAAATCCCAAGGCAGCATTTAATTGCCTTAATCATGAGACGGTCCTCTCTCTTCCTGCAGTCCCCTACCTCATTCATTACACCCCTTCCAACTTCTGCAACAAATGAGTCAGGGGTCCTACAGCCAACAGCCTCCTTCATTACACAGCCTTCATTCATCTCCAGAGCAGGTTCGTTCTGTGCACTGAATGAGGGATGGATCTTGTGGAAAAAACAGGTTTCAGAGTAGCAGCCGTGTTAGTCTGTATTCGCAAAAAGAAAAGGAGGACTTGTGGCACCTTAGAGACTAACAAATTTATTTGATGCATCCGATGAAGTGAGCTGTAGCTCACGAAAGCTTATGCTCAAATAAATCTGTTAGTCTCTAAGGTGCCAAAAGTACTCCTGTTCTTTTTGGAAAAAATAGTATGTGAGCCTGTAATTAATGAATGTATCATAACGCATCCACAAAAGGAGCAGAATTAAGCTTGCACAGGCAACCTGAATTCTGGCATTTTCTCATTTTTAAGTGCTTGACTTTGCAACCTTAATAATGTTCTTTTAACATAGGTTTTTTAACATAGGTTTAACATAGGTTTCTGTAATTTCCTAGTTTTTTAAAAGAGCAAACAGAAAAAAAACCAGAAATTCCATCATGTGGCATCAAATTGATACTTACATGGACCCTTTAGATCCACCACACAAACCGGTTACTTGAGTTACCGGAATAAATGATAGCAGTAGTAGGTTGCCATCCTCTATGTCAAGCCCCTGGAGTGCCGGGCCGGTTTGTTTACCTGCCGTGTCCGCAGGTTTGGCTGATCACGCCTCCCACTGGCCGCAGTTCGCCGCTCCAGGCCAACGGGGGCTCTGGGAAGCATCGCGGGCTGAGGGATGTGCTGTCCGCCCTTCCCGCAGCCCCCATTGGCCGGGAGCGGCGAACCACGGGCAGTGGGAGCTGCGATTGGCCGAACCTGTGGACACGGCAGGTAAACAAACTGGCCCAGCCCACCAGGAGCTTTCCCTGAACAAGCAGCAGATTGGCTTTGAGAACCACTGCTCTACGTGGACTGCAAAAACAACGAGGAGTCCTCGGGGCACCTTAGAGACTCCTCGTTGTTTTTGCTGATACAGACTAACACAGCTACTACTCTGAAACCTGTCTCTGTGTGGACTAGCACTAGAAGGGGATGAGACACACTTCACCAGAGGGCTTCACAGATATTTGCTGACAGCAGAGGCATGGTGAGACTCAGGAATCTTGGATTCTATTCCACATTCTCATCAAATCTCAGCCTACCATCTCATCTGACCCCCTCCACAGCTTCTTGTCCCGGTCTCCCCCTCCCTGGCTCCTTCTCCCAATCTCTTTGCCCAGCCAATCCCCGTTCTCCCCCTTGCACTCCAGATTCTTGTCAGATCTGTCTTCCCTCCTCTCCCCCAAGGTTCTCCCATCACCAAGCCAACTGGCTCCCAGTCATCCCCCCATAATTTCCCCCACCAGCTCTCCCCTAACTCCCAATCACAGTTTCTCTCCTCCCATCACTCCAGTCACATTCTCACCTGACTCCTTGCTTAGAAAGAGATTTTAGCTGCTAAAACCTAAGTCTCTAATGAGCATGTACAAGCTGAGATTCTTCAAAGGCGTGTAAATTGACCATATTTGGATAGATTTTCACAGGAATGGCAAAAGGAAAATTCCTGACACAAAGCCACCCCGCTGCCAAATTCCAAGTCCCTGTTTCAAAGCACATATGTAATGCTGAGGAAATGATAACATGCCCTTTGAATGGAAAACCTTTTGTAAAACCAGTGTTCTGAATGAAATTCTTGCGGTCATGTATCAAAAATATACCTTCTGTTTCTTGGCAGAGATTTTTAAAAGGCATTTGATCAATTAATTACACATCACCTGCTAAACATCTGGGACTAGTCCAAAGATAGCCGACTAGTCTTCTCTCAGACATACGTTGGATGGCAGCACCATCTGACACCTAAAAGAAGGGAGAACATGCAATCAAGCAACCATCAAAAGCTCATAGCTCAAATTAGAGTAGTCTAAATGTTAGCTGCAGTCTTTCCAGATTAAACCAGAAATGTTATTGAGGGGGCCTGCTTATTAGGATTGAAACAGGAAGAAAACTCATAAGGTTTGCAGATTCCTTGTCTGCAGATTGTGTGTAGTGCATGTGATGCTTTGCTCTTCATTTCCATATGGGCAATAAAAGGGAGTTGACAGTATAAATTAAATACACCATGTAGTCCTTCAAGTATAGAATTGTCTTCTGTGACTAGGGGGAACTACAGTGTTCTGGCCATAGAGCATCATTTGAGACTGATAGGCAAGAATATACTACCCCTCTTCCTGTTTCATCTGTGCACAAGGCCCCCTGGCTGATTGTATCTTAGCAAACTCTGTCACAAGAAATGCAGCTGCAATATCCAAACACAGTATCTACTCAGACTATGTGTCACAGGGTGGCTGGCCCCTTTAAATGAAGCAGGCCTAGTGCCTCGGGCTAGAATGGTTGTTCCCAGTTTGTCCAATTAAGAGGGTGGGGCAGTGGAGCAGCACCTGGGGCTATGAAGAGCCAGGCTGTCAGTGAGGAAGAGGGGGAGCAAGAGCAACAGGCAATCCCCCGGGAGCAGGGGGCGGACATTGGGAACCTGCGAGGGGAAAAGAGTCTCTAGGGAGAAAGCTCTGGGGGGCGGTGCTCAGTGAAAAGAGGACGAGAAGGATACTGCAATAGACCCTGAAGCAGGAAGGACTTAAAGAGACAAAGGGGGAAATCCCCCTGGAGCTGGAGCCCAGGTGGGCTGAAGAACTGTTTTTTGTGTTTTGCCTGCTTGGGAAATAAAACTGTCCCTGGAAAGAGAATCTCAATGTAGCAGTGAATCCTCTGTGGGCTGGGGACAAGCCAGCACCTCATTTACACTGTTCTTGCATGAATCTGAGCCAGGTAATGCTATTGGGTTTGGTGGCAAAGACATTTTCATGTTTCAAATAACTATAGTCATAATTAGATAGTCTGACAGCAGAAATGGAAATATTTGGTTTTTTACCCCGAAAATCTGAAACAAGAATGAGAGAGATCAGAAAACACCAAAGCAGCACACAGGAGTAATCGATTGTAGACAAATCTGCAAAATGTGATCCTTTGATCATGAAAATGACAATTGCTTAATTTTCAGAACAAAGAAAAAAAGAGTTATATAAAGGGGATTCTTTAAGCAAAGGACTGTTTGATCAGATTCATAGTTAAGGATGTGCACCCATTTTAAATGGAAAATCCTTCCGTGCTGGTATGACTCTCTGAAGCCTGGTGGTCACATTACCCATATCAAACTGTTATTTGGATGCTCACCCACTGAAAATTCATTTAATGCATGTCCTTCAATTTACAACACATGGAAATGAAAAAAACCCACTTTGGCATCTAGTCACTTTGGACGGTAACTTGGACATATCATGTGCACAGCAATCCCTTTCAGTCTACATGGGTGGACTAAAGCAGACATGGAATTCTGGCACCCTTTCAAGAGCACTAGGACCTGTACAACTTCCCAGGCCAAGATTTGAATTGTCTCCTACAAGTGTAACACCATAAAACAGGCCACCGAGATGGTCTGAGTTCTCACTTGCCTCTAAATTCATCCTGTCTTCTTCTCAACACAGAGGTGGATGTACTCATCGTCACATGCCAGAGACCCACTAGCAACCAAGAGAACGTTAGCACAATATTTTAATCAATGAAAAAAATCCATTTTTATTGTTATTGCCACATAGATAACGTTCCTTGGATTCACAGAGCATTAATTCTTCAAAAGAAAAGAAAGGACAATGATCAGTTAACCCTGAGTAAACCAGAACCAGACTCCTTTCCTCGTCTTGGTTTGAACGGGTGAGCTGGCCATACCAGGTCTGCCAACTCTATCAGTTTTATTGCTTGTCTCACAATATTTAATGTTGTCCTTTGACACACACCAGGACACAATCCAGGCTAAGAAGGAAATGTGTCACCCTTGCGCTCTAACCTGAGGTGCCCTTCACAATGCTTTGCTGCGGTAGCCTCCAGCTTGGACTCCTCACCAACAGCCACCAGCATGCAAGTCACTCCCACTTATGTCTGTGTGTGTGCAGCAGCCAGGCAGTCACAGCTTAGCTCCTGCCAGCCTTGGTTATACTACAGCAGGTCCCCACACGCTCCCAGTCTTAGATTTCCCCCCAGAAGTGTATGTCCTGTACTGCCCAGCCCTCTCCTGGACAATACAAGTTTATATAAAGTCCATTGTTTCTTTAATAGAAATAATATGCACACAACTAGCCACCCCAAATGGCATTTCCCACACACTTCAATTTAAATACACTGGATTAGATAAAACAATAAAATAAGTTCATTAGCTACAAAGAGATAGATTTTAAGGGAGTACAAGTAACAAGGCATAAAAGTCAGAAATTATTACAAGACAAATAAAGATAAAATGCAACTGGTGTCTAACTTAACAAACTACATTAAATTCAAAGTAAAGTTTTCTGACCACATGCTTTCAGCAGTCTTACGGACCAAACTTCTTAAGGCAGGACCCCTTCGCCCACAGTTCAACAAATGCTTCCTTTGTCACTTCTGGTATCTTGAATGTGATGGGCAAGGATAGAGAGGGAGGATGCCTTGGGGCATTTGTCCCTCCTTTTTATAGTTTCAGTCCCCCTCTTGAAAAACATTTCCAACTAGAACCAGGAGACAAAAGATCTATGTGGAATGATGTTCCCTGCGGCTTTTTCCTCACCTGTTTGAGCGTCCTTTGTTTCCAATTCCTGCTTGATGACTCTGTTTACTGCTTAAATGTAAATTAAGCAGAGCACACATTCTTTTGTTTGAGACAGACCTGTTTGCCAACCTCAGTTTGGAACATGTGTTAATAACACTGTACAGTGAAATCTTAGAACTTCACATATAATGTTGCCACACATTTTATCAGGATAATAATGATCAGAAAATTATGGGTTTTCAAATGATACCTCACAAGGCATACTTTGTCCAAAGATTATTACAATAGTGTGTAGGATGTGGACACAGCGGTACACTCTGTCACATCTTTACAACCCCAACTCCTGGCATCACGTGATT